AGGCTGCAACTAATAGATATCGTGTAAGAATGTTTGTTGGATCAATTTATATTTATACGTTATGACTTATTTGACAGCATAATTGTGTAAGATGTTATCATATAGTTTCATGAAGGGTATGATTGAGACAATAATTACTTTGTATCAGATAATGGATGTCAAAAGATTAATGTATTGTAAATGGTATATTATACTAGGTTCTTGCTCAGAATGCAAGTGTTTACTATTCATTATGTAACATAGTCGGCAGTGAGTTCTATTTCTGGTCTCCTTTTCAGACTGCTATCTATACTATACGTGCTTTCTTGGCTAATATATCAGACCTTGATTTTGTTTATTATACAAATGAATAATACAGATATGTATTATTATTCTACTTTAATGCAAAGCAAATTGACATATGACTGAAAGTCATCAATTAAGTTTCAGGTTACTTTTACTTATGAATACTGCGTCGCAATTGATAGTCACTGTCCTCATTATCAGCAAATCATTTTATTTTAAAATACTTTTGCAACGAACAACAGTTTTAAGATAACATTGTAAAATATTAACAGTTATTTACGTGGAATACAAAAATATATACAAACAAAATAGAGTTAGTTTGTTATGTCTTTAATTAGTAATAATGTTTCTTATCTTCTATGTGTCTAGACAAGGATGCAAGCATTAACTCCTGGCCCAGGAGGAGGGGGAGGAATAGGAGAGGTGTTATATAGAATGATACGACAAGAAGGTGTATTAAGGCCAATTAGGGGTGTCAGTGCAGTGGTTGCTGGTGCAGGTCCCGCACATGCTTTATACTTTTCTTGTTATGAGTGTCTTAAAGAAAAGTTTAAGAGTACAAGATCTCAATTCAATCATCTTGTCTATGGGGCAGCTGGTTGCGTAGCAACAATTCTGCATGATGGTGTCATGAACCCAGCCGAAGGTTAGATATAGAAACATATTTGATATGACACATGATACACGCTCTTATTGATAACATATATCGTTGTACATATAGATATAATCTTACAATCTACGCTTCAATCAATGTTAATTAATGAAGATATACAGATTTTTTATCTAATCATAACTTAAATATTACCAATTTTTTTTACTATTTTATAACTACTGTATAGTAAAGCATATATTGAGATTATCTTTGAAAATTAATTTTAGAAAACAGTAGATGTAGAAATTTATATACAATATTATCTTTTTACAGTGGTTAAACAACGATTGCAGATGTATAATTCCCCTTATAGGAATGTATTGAATTGTATACAACATGTGTACCAGAAAGAAGGGATATTTGCATTCTACAGGAGTTACACAACTCAATTGGCTATGAATGTGCCTTTTCAGAGTATTCATTTTATCTCTTATGAATTCGTACAATCCATTATGAATCCAGAACACGTTTACAATCCAATAGCACATATTGGATCGGGTGAGTGATTTAATTATCAATAATATTGATTTTCTGCTTTAAGTTTCTGATACTATTGAAAAAGATATAATGTTATATTGTAAAAATTATGCAAAAAAATCAAATTAATATATTATTATTATTAGAAGTATTAAATCTTGAGTAAAATAAGCGTATTTTGATGCGAAAAAATGTAGTTGAATAAAATTGTAATCTTTGTCTTTGTTTTTTTTTTTTTTTTTTTTTTTTTACTGAAACCAGGTGCAGCAGCAGGTGCAATTGCGGCTGCCGCGACGACCCCTCTGGATGTTTGTAAGACAGTGTTGAACACACAGCAGGATGGTGTGCACGCTCAAGGCATGATAGATGCATTTAAACAAGTCTACAGGTTCGGCGGAATACAGGGATACTTCCGTGGATTACGTGCACGTGTCTTATTCCAAGCACCAGCCACCGCTATCTGTTGGGTGATGTAAGTCAATTGATTTTATATTTCTTTTTATTGCTTTTTTTGTGATTATATCATACTCATCGTTTCTCTTTATATCGTGTCGCATAACATGTTTCTGATTTACACGCTAGATATGAGTCATTCAAGTATGTGTTGCGGGGCAAGCAAGATGATGAGTATAGTGATTCCGAAGCCGACAATGGTATGACCGGAATTAATCAGAATCCGACGCTTGCATCAAGATCTAATAGCTTTCAGGGCGCAGGTCTGTACTTTAACAATCATGCCTCATCACCCGTATTACTCAAAGTGACTACGAGTTAGGCATGTAAAAAATCCATACTATTGATTGTCCATTACGAGAAAGAAAGAGAAAGAGAGAAAGAAAACTATTTCATTATCCAAGAGTTGTTTATGGAAGTGGCGGTATCTTTTTTTTTGTATAAAAGTATATCGACACAATGAATATTTGTTGATTCGTTCATTATTTGAACCGTATTTTTACATATTCTATATCGCAATCGAAAATCGATATTAAAGAAAGACAATAGCAAGCAAAGGTACGGGACCTGGATTTATTGAATATTGATATATAAACTTCTTTGATTATTGTTAACTTAAAACTACGTCAAACAATGATGCTAATTATGTTATCTCTTTTTTTATTTCTTGATTTTTAATTATCGAGTAAGGATCTTAAAAGATGTTATTTCATTAAACTTTATATGTTATCGTACCTTATGCTTTTAATATATTTTCTGTCATATATGCGAAATTAGTATGGCAGTAACGTACTATTGTTTTAGAATAATTGCAAAATAACTTCATTAATTAGCACCAAATTTAAAATCATGAAATAATTATTATCTGGTACACCGTTGGCTGCCATCCGATGTATAAAACCTAAATAAAATGCTTATCTATTGTACTGTTCATATGGAGTATTATTGGACATTTAGCAAAATGCCAATTTGATATATATATGACATGTGTGCGCGCGCGTGTATGAGTGTGTGTGTATTAGAATATTTGTCAGCATTATTTGTTTTTGGCTGTAATTTGTATATTTGTATACAAATATACAAATTTTTATATATCTAGCTTGTGCAAATTGAATATTTTATTAGTAATTTGTTCGATATTAATACTTAGTTGGTTTAATGATAATTGATAAAAGTTATTTTTTAGACACCAAGGAAATTTATACTGTACAAATTCATTATTTGGAAATAAATATAAATTACTGCTGAAAACATGACACAGAGAATGTTAAATTAATTTTTTAACATTTTCCAATATAGAAAATGATTGTTTTTAAGAAGAAAGAAAAATATATGCTCCAATTGAATAGTGGAAATAGATTACGCACATAGCGCAATTAGATTGCAGCCCACTCCAACATTGTACCATTAAGTAAGTTAAGAAAACAGTGGGATGCATGCAGAAATTTTATCGATAATAAACTATACTTAAGAGCATAATTAAGTGCGCATAATTAATGCAGAATCATATCGCAAACATAAAATTGCAAAATTAGAATCATAATTGTTACTAACAGGACATTATAAAATCAAAATATTTGACATTACGAAGACTAATGAAATCTTCTTTCTAAGTTGATGTAGAATGCGATGTAACTTTGTGTTTGGATTATAGGTACAATATGGATTGGAGTGAATTGAATTAATATATAGGACATGATTGGCTAACCTGAACTAAAGAAATTACAAGTGATGTAAAGTGATTGTTTTATAGAAGATTGTAGATAAAACTATAAAATATATTGCAGAGAGAGAGAGAGAGAGAGAGAGAGAGAGAGAGAGAGAGAGAGAGCTGTACAGTATATAAAATAAACTGAAAACCAGTGTAGAAAAAATGAAACTATTATTTGTACAAATACGATTCGTCTTGATTACTCAAGTACAAATGATAAAATGCTCCTTAGTCATTTTGTAATATAAATATTGTATCTAAACTATACATGATATATAATCACAATATTGCTTCCTATGGCTGTGATTACTGAGTCATTTGATGTTGACTTTAAGAGGGAGTAATATCATGTAAAACTCATATTTCACGCCATATTTATTTATTATTACAATTTTTTAACACCTTACATCGTTGCTAAATGAATTATTGTTGGAAATAAGAAAGCACAGTATTCATATGTAGAGATATGTGTAAAAGAAGAGCGAAATCTAAATTTGAAAATAACTTTACAAAATGTTCATTTAAATTATCAAAAATTTGCAACTAATCTTTCGTTTGAAATATGTGTGCAAGAATGCGTGGATGTGCCTATTACACGCGTACATATATTTTATATGTTTAAGCTTGTAATTGTCAGACAGTATATCTTATTGAATTTATTAGAACATTCAATTCCTTGTTTATACTTTTGTTGTAATCTGTTAATCATTATGTATTAAACATATTTTAGATGTTTTTATTTGAACCTTAAATAAATGTTTATTTCTCAAGTGTGTTACAGAATACTATAATACTTCACCAATTTCTTTTTAAAAATGTATTTATGCAAATTACCGTGGCCACGTATTAGTATATGAACGACTTAATATTTTCTACGATTTTTTTTTGTGAGTAAGCGCTTATTTTTTGAAAAAAAAAACAAGATGTATATAGTCGATGTATATGCTCCCACTGCTATTATAAAAAAATATAAATAATGTAGAGTATATAATAAGTACATATTGAGTTTGTGTAACACAGTGAAACGCGTTATACATAATAATGATGTAAATAAATCATTCTACAAAGTATTATGGTGTACCTTCATGTTTAATTCGTTGCTTTATCTCTCGGTTTCTTACAAGTGTATGAAGAAAGGAAAAAACATTTGAGAACAGTTATATTTTGAAATCTTACTTCAGAGTTATTTTCTTTAAAATACTTTTTGATGGGCATGTAAATCATTTGTAATAAGCATCTATTTTATTTAAATTAAAAAAGTGAAATATGGCAAAAGTTGCTAGTGATGTGTGCGATGCTCGTTATCAATTATATCACACTGAAATGATAAGAAATGAAAATGCAATACGGATGAAATGGTTTTTAAAGAATCAACAACAATTGATAGATCAGCTAAAAGAACCGAAATTTATAAAACGTGCCAAAGAAATAATTACAGAGAAGCAAAAACGAGAAGCAGCACGTGTAGATAAACCTATCGTATGTAATTACAGTTTGCTGATTCATAATGTTCATCTCTTTAAAATTTTGTACATATGTAGGTACAACGGCAGCCCTTACCCACATGGAGGCCACCTAAATCCGATGATTCTATTAATATAGATATTATGAAACCAATTGATACCGATATAAAAGCCATTCTTTATGAAAAAGGAATTCCAACTTTTATTACTAGTCACAACTATCTAACTAAAAGGTACCTACAAGTCAAATACATGCACAAATCCCTGAAAACGTTTAATTAATTTAAAATGCTTTTTGAAATTTTTTAGATTTAAAGAACCTCCGGAGAAGCGTTTCTATTTTCCCGATTGTACAAATTGGATATATGGTTGGCGTCTTGATGATTATCCTTCTGTTCCACTTAGTGAAGTAAGACTAAGATCTGTCATATTAGCACAATTTTATCAGCGTAAGACATTCAATTTGGAACGAGATCCAGAATGGTTTCGCGGTTGTCAAATGAAGAATGCAAAGAATTTTAATGAACGTTGACATATTAATTATTAACTAATTTATAACGCTTATACAGAGAATTATAAATATATCTACGTATATTGCTGTAGTACTATTATTGATATTTTAATATTAGGTGTTGGAATTAATTCGTAGCGTTTTTAATAAAAGAATGTTATTTATTTCACATGAGCATTAAAAAATACATTAATGAAAGTACTTCCCATCACTTGTAAATCGCTACGAATTAATTCCAACACCTAATATTATAATTTTCTGCGATGTTTGTTATATTTTGCGATAACTGCCATTTTTATAATAAAACAGATGTGCGATCAGTCGATGATTATTCATTCCGTTTAAATATCTATGATTTTATAATTCATCACATAAAAAACGAGCGATACGATATCTCTTTAAAAAAATGTTATCTTTAAAATTAGAATACATTGATATTTGTAACAAAATATGATTGTTTATTTGTTAAGAAAATTCCATATTTGTAAAGATAATTTAAGAAATCTCTTTAGTTCCATTACATAATATAGTTAACAAGTGTTATTTATTTTATTATTTATAACATACATTAATATTCTAAGCTATTAGTTTGGATTCAATTGAGATATCAATTGAGAAAAATCAGATTTAATTTTCAATATACATTGAAAAATACATCCATATTGCCAACAATTGTCAATCATTGATTAGCGTTTTTTTGCATCATAACTTCTCCACCTTTCGCAATTTTTTCTAACAATAACTCAGGTTTATACTTTGCATACCACTTTATTGTCTTCTTCAACAATGCTTTTTGCAATTCGTCACATTTCTTACAGTTAGCTAGGAGAGCTTCGCGGAACATTTCTGGAATTAAAAGAAATTATTTTTTGTTTATTCTTTAATTCAAAATAATCAATTTTATTTCTCTTATTACCAAATCCTAATACCTAAGTACCCTTTGATATTACGATCACAATGTTGAATTTTGCAAAATTATTATTATTAAGTAAATACTGATTTCTGTTCAATTAATATGTTCATGTTGATATATCGAGAATTATTAAAGATAGATGAAAAATGAAAAAACTCTTCAATGGAATTATTTTGATATCATTTTTAGTGTATTCAAACTATACTCGACAAATTTGATTATCCTCCCTTATGAAAATAAAAATCGGAGTAAATTGAATATAATGGAAAAATAACAGAAGCATGAATGAAACTTCTAGAAGGCGAAAATTGTAACAACGAAATGTGAAAGAAGTACGTTTTTTTTTACATTTTAACGTTTTTGTTCTAATTTCCGCCTTCTAGAAGTTTTGTTTACGCTTTTGCTACTCTCCCATTATATCAGATTTACGCTCCGATTTTTATTTTCATAAGGGTCTTTTTTCCACAAAATTTCATCAGAGAAGCACAGTTCGCCACACAAATCATCTCAACGTAATCCCATCTTATTTAATTTTTCATCTAACTTTAATTAGGTTCCGAAATATCAGTATAGACATATTAAATCAAATATTTTATACATATTTACAATTGAGCAACAGATCAAAATTCTGTTAAAGTCTGAAAATAATTTGCAAATCTTATTGGGTTGGGGAAAAAGTTTCTTCATAAAAAGTTTCTTTTTTAATTCAAAATTGTTTATACAATATCTTCGTCAAAAATCTCTACTTTCGAAAGGTTACAATATTTTATGAGTTTGATAATTTATATTTAAAAAACTACTGCTGAAAAAGATGAAAACTTTTCTTTTCACTTTAGGGGTCTTTTACGTGCCCAAAAAA